CCCACCCCCCCTGTACTGTCAGGAGCAGCATGTGCCTGTGGTCAGTAATTGATAACGTGGCCCAGGGAGCGCTACCTAACCCGGCTTACTGGAGCATGAAGCAGCCCGAGAAGGTTGCGAGGTGACGCTCAATCTTCACACTCTCTGTCGAGGGGAGGATTGCGGTGAGAGCCAAGGGAGTCGGATGCCACCGAATCCCTTCATACCAACAGGATAAATCGAACCCCAATGTTTGTTTGCGTTTGCATTTCAGCCTCGTGATCAAGCGTTCCACTTTAAAGATATTTAGCCACGATTAAAGCCATAGAATAGACCATCGAATTCTAACAAAACTTGGTATGAAAGCAAAGAAGCCAAATGAATCACAAGTTTATTTGATTTTTTTTTTTTTCTTCTTTTACAGAACTCTCGAGACTGTCGATAGAATGGCTCTATGAGGGCGAAGTACGAATAAGAGATGGGGAAAGAAACTACTCAGGAACGAGATAAAGAGGGGTAATAAATTGAAAGAGGATGCCATTTGCAGCCTTTTGAGGAGAGAACTTATTCAGGAAGATGGCAAGTTGAGGCCAGGTGGAGAAATGATGAGGCTTCAGCAGCAGTGAGCAGGCCAAGAGCCAAGTGAATGATGGGAGGAAAATGTAGAGCAGGCGCTCGTGGGGTCCTGCTTTTTTTTTTTTTTTAAATGCCTGCAGTTAGGAGTAGAGATTCCTCATCTTTTCGACAAATACCAACACACTTAGCTCAATATGAGCCACTGCAGTTTCTTTTTTAATCAAACCTACTTGTCTGTTTCCAACATGGTGCGCTGATGAAGTTTGTTTTGCTCAAAGTTTGTTTTGCCGCTTTGGAAAACGCATTTAGATGAGTGTCAAGTCATACTCTCTCATGGGGCTGAAGACATCGTAGGTGTTGTGAATTTTTTTGATGTTAGGCTTCACTTAAAAAATATATTTATATACCGTATTTGCAACCGCGGGTTTAATCTCTATTCACAAGATTAGATCCCGGTGCTCTTTCGATATTTTGTGATGTCGAAACTCAAAGACCGCAGTCCTCTCTTGGCAAGTCGGTGACATTTAGAAACCTGACAGTCCGGCTAAATCACAGATTAACACACTCAATAGATGCAAAACAAATCTTGTTTTCAGCACCTGGGAAATGTATTTTTTTTCTTTTCCCCCTCACAAGCAGATGGGTCTAGGTTATTCAACTTCTTTGACGCTTCTGTCAGTGGTGACAAGGCAGCTCTGAATCTGTAAATGTCACACGTATGAATGTCTCCCAAGAGATAAAGATGGGGTAATTCATTCTGCCCTGGCACATGGCACCTGTTCTCGGGGGGCGGATGGTGGGGGCTTCACAAACCCTCAAGTGTTGGTCTTAACTTGCCCTGGATTGAAGATGGCGAGTCTTTGTGCAAGTTTCTTTGGGCGGTCTTTTATTGAACTAACCTTCGGACCTCCAGCCCAAGTCAGACACATATTTTATACTTCACAGTTTTAAAAACGCACACAATTCTGCTCCTTGTCCAATAACACAGCCCCTAAGCGAAGGCCGAGGAATTCATGCGTGAAAGAAGAGTCGGAAGGGTAAAGAACAACATCTTGGGAAGGAACAGAAAATTACAGACAATCTAGGATTATTGAGGCAGTCGGGTTAAGTCATGTCGCCGAAGCTTACAGTACGTTTGCGGCTTGACCGGAAAAGCAAAAAAAGGTGGCAAAATGGGACACGACTAGTGATGGGCTAAAATGAACACCATCCATCCCTACATTTTCTTCAACTTATCCGGGATGGAGTCGCAGGGGGAGCAAAGTGACAAGAGGAAGCCAGACTTTGCTCTCTTTAGCCATGTAGTCCAACTCTTCTGGGGAGATCCCAAGATGTTCCCAGGCCACCACGAGGACATAGATTCACTCTACTGCATCTTCCCCAGGGTCTCCTCCTACTGTGTTATCCCCAGAGTACCTCCCCAGGGAGGCGTCCAGGAGGCATCCTCAACAGATGCCCTAAACGGCTGTCCTCTGAGTGTCTCCCCGACGACCGATCTGGAGAGGAAACTCATTTCGGCTGCTTTTTATCCACAATCTTGTTCTTTTGGTCAGCGCCAACATCTCATGACCATAGAGTGCGGGAATGGAGACCCTGTCAGGAAATCGAGAGCTTTGCCTTTGTTAGCGTGGCTTCTTCTTCAACATGACGGAACTGATGCGGAGTCAGCTTCACTGCGGTCGCTGCACCAATCCCAATCCCGCCTCCCATGCCATTCTTCTCTCACTCGTGAACAAGACCCCAAAATACGTGAAGTCCCCCACTTGCGACGGCGATCTCATTCCTGGTTCGGAGAGGGCACTCCGCTCCACCCTTTCCCGACCATGACCTCAGATTTCTGAAGCGAGAGTTGGAAGATAGCGGCTTCATGAATCCAGCAGAACCGCACCGTCGGCAAAAAGATGAGATGTTTTGCAAAAGGATTCTTCAGACAGCACTGGAAATAAAAAATTATCGCTAAATCTGTAAGGTCAGACAAAAGACAAAAAAGAGACTGGAGTCGTCTAAATTATAATCGTAAAGAAAAGCAGTCCCTTTAAGATTACTCCCGAAGACCAAACCAACGTATCGTTTTGAGAATTTGCTCGCTAATTCATTTCTCAAACTGACAAAGAAGCGATCGCTTTGCTGCCTTGGCCGTTGGTATGTTCATTTGTGATGTTATCAGGAGTTCATTGTTCCATTTCCACCTCAGTTTTGCGGCTCAAATGAAACGGTTGGCATGCTGCCCTGGACGCGTAATCCAAACTCCAACATAGCGGCCATGTGATTACCGGACAATTAAAGTAGACTGATTGCATCAGACAGTGTTTGTAAAAGAGGGTCTACAGTACTTCCTGTTGATTATAATCATGTTGAGTTCAATTACCTTCAAGAGTCATATATCATCCAAAGTCGGTTTGTTGGCACAGCGCATGCAAGTTGATCGAGACCGTTCAAGATATGCGTCTGTGTGTGCGTTTTTCTTACAGCTCCCTCCATTGTTCCCATCATGCATCAGATCAGCTCCACCATGAATAGCTTCACATTGTCGTGGCCGCAACCAGAACAACCCAACGGTATCATTCTGGACTATGAGCTACGTTACCATGAGAAGGTAAGATACTCGTTTTAACTGATTCGATTCGGGGGCGGTCCTGTGTAAGGGGCCCAGCAGTCATGCACCTTCCCATGTCCACCGTAAACTTGTTCAGTCCTGACATTCCACAAGCTCTGTTGCCTTTCCATCGCAATGTTGCAGTCGCTCTTCCATTGTGTAGTCTTCGTAGGATGCGGTAGACTTGGGTACGATGATCAAAATGGACTTGTCCCTTAACTCAGTCTTTGTTTTCAATGTTTGGCAATACTTTTTCCGCCCCATCTTTTGAATCCAAGCCATCATGGCGTGTCAAATGTAATTGCGTTTTGACACACAATAACAATAACCGAACTGAAAATCCGGGCGCCTAACCGGGTTAACAATGTTTTCATTGTGTTTGCTGCATCACTCCCGTCGGGTTCCTCGTTGCAGATGAAGCAAATGGGTTGACCTGTGCTCACAGTGTACCGACCTGCCCCTCGCTGTGGAAATGCATTGGATCTGAGGAGTGAATCGCATCGATCCGTCTGCTCTCACACAATGCGTCTGCTTTATTAAGTCGCCAGCCCAACCCCTCGGAGCCTACGCTGCTCCAATATTGACCTGGATAGTCATTTCCCAAGGCCTTGGATAGAACGATAGCAAGAGATCAGAGGCTCCGGATTCTCTTTCGGGCCCCTTGTTTGTCCTTCTAAAACTGATCGATAGGCCGTGCCATGTTGGTCATGCACTTTTGCCTTTTACGAGATTTGGTGAACCTTGGCTCATCCTCTGCTTACCGAATAATAGATTGAAATCCATATAGTATATAAATGATCATGTGTATTATTTATTTCAAACTGATTTTAGGAAAGGGCCATGGATCAATACCTGTAACTCAAATGTATTATATCCTTATCCCCCCCCCCATAACGGCGCTCCCCCACCATCTTGTTTTGCTTTGTTCATGAAACGGATTCCAATCGCCAAGGACTTGAGGAAGCTTATCTTCCAGACAGCTTAGTGTCATGTAAATAACAATTATACAGCCTCCTTTTAGTTCATGAATATCAATGAAAGCTAATCCTATTGATATTTACATAGCAAGTCGTCACGCAAACAGATGAGCACGGCGTAATCGCAAATTAGAGAATCACGAAGGACAGAGTGACTAATTGCACTGGGATAATTCAGGTGAACGCACTCCACCAAATTGAAGACGCTTTCTAATGCTTGACGTACATTCTTAGCCGGAACCGAACTGCCAAGATGAGCTACGTAGATGTGTGTTGGTCGCATCTTGCCACGTTACAATCCAGCCAGATCAAGGAGCTCTTCAACTGGTTGTGAGAAAGTTTCATCCCGGTGTGTATTGATGATGTGGCCTCTTACTGACTAGAAGGTGATGACGGAGGGAAGATTTTTGCCATGTCTATAAAGCACGCCCATGCACACTCCAGCAGTTCCCCCCGCACCCCCACCCCCAAGTTACTAATCTCCTGGATAATGCAATCGTAAAAGGATATGCTCTAATAAAAAGAGCCTTCGACACGCTGCTTCTGTTTCAGGCATCCCTCCACTCTGAACGTTATTTATTTATTTATTTAATCTGGATGTGAGTGTCCCAGCAGGCTTTGCACAGTCAAGTAATCCTCAACCCTGCGCAAAGTCATCTCGCTGCAAATTCCATCTTGCAGGAGGCACTCGCTTCCAATTTGCAATGGCGACGCGAAACCTTCATTGTTGTGAGTTTGGCTCATTTGGACAACAACCGCTTGTCGTTCTCTGTCTTGTTAGAAATTGTTTTCCTTTTGGAAATTTATGAAAGATTGCGAAATGATAATGGTGTGTGTGGGGGGGGACCAAGGCCCCGTGTCCTATTCAAATCAGCAACATTTCATTTAAATGGAAACAAGCAGGCATTCAAAATTAAAGTAAATATATTTTTCGAGCAAATTGATGAGTGTTTGGCGGCATTACCCCTTGTACACGGCTAATTATTTTATAACTTCTACTCTTTCTACTACCACTTGACCTACTACTGTACAAAAAAAAAAATGCATCAAACAATTTAACCAGCATCACATTTTTAGTAATCAATCCTCTGTAGACAGAACATATTTGACAGTTGGTTTATGTTTCCCGAAACTAAAGCTCATCATAATTCATTGAAAGGCGCCTGCCTTCCACATCAAGAAATGATGGTGAGGTGTTAATGGCAAAGTATTGTAATGGAGAAAACAAGGCACGGGTGTCCGAAAGAAGTCAGTGCATTCTGTTTAAACGGCGTCCATCTTGGACTCGAAGCACTCCAGGAAAACAAGCAAGCACCGCAAATACTTGGCATGCAAATTGAGGTGCAAATTACAAATACGCCTGAAGGCTCCTCTCACCTCCTCAGGCCACATGATGCAAGTTGTAAGCAAGTGCTCTCAGGAAGTTCAAATTAAAGGTTGGAGAGGCAAAAAAAAAAAAAAAAAGTGAAATATTGCGCTTGTTCCTCCGGCTTCCCAACTATTGCACTCTTATTTTCCTGAGAATTTGGGCAGGGTAGAAATAACACAGCATAGCAGAGGTCGGGACCTCTATTAAGGCTACAGCTGAACAGCCGTGTGTGTGTGTGTGTGTGTGTGTGTGTGTGTGTGTGTGTGTGTGTGTGTGTGTGTGTGTGTGTGTGTGTGTGTGTGTGTGTGTGTGTGTGTGAAAGAGAGAGAGGAGGAGAGAGAGAGAGAGAGAGAGAGAGAGAGAGTGTTAGCATTAGCGTTAGCATATGTATGCTTTCGGTGCATTCATTGTGGATCACGGCAGCACTACTGTATGTGACATTTAATAGCGAGGAATATTTTTGTGGACCTACACAAACTCTGAAATGTCACTTTAGCTTTTCATACTCTTATCAGAGGAAAAATTCAAACTCGACCAACTAGCCCGCAGCACATTAGCAGACGCGTGGAAGGTGTCCTACTGACGACTTTAGATTTCAAAGAGAAATCGCATTGCCTGTCTTTCTTCATTCTTCCTTCAGAACCGCTTTCTTCTCTCCCTCTCGGTCCCCTCCTTTACCCCCCCCTCACGCCACTAACTCGTCAGTCTCCAGGCGAATAGAATACAAGGTACTGTCATCCCCATAAAGTTGCTGCAAAGCAGATGGAAAATAGACAAAGCGAACTGAGCCGTCTGAAGTTTTTACCCACATTTACGAATATTTTTTTTTCTTTCACCTCTGTCGTACATATAACATTAATAAGATGTCATTTTTCTCAGTTTTAATGTATGTGTTTTTAATTTGGATTTTTTTTTTTGTTATACATCCTTCAAAAAAGATTAAATAAGATTGAATCATTTTACCCACATTTACGAATATTTTTTTTTCTTTCACCTCTGTCGTACATATAACATTAATAATATGTAATTTTTCTCAGTTTTAATGTCGTTTTAATTTGGATGTTTTTTTTTGTGATACATCCTTCAAAAAAGATGAAATAAGATTGAATCTTTTCACACACACACACACACACAAACACACACACATGCATATAGCCTGTATCAAATTTGAATTGTGGTCGCAATTTTGGCCACCACAAATAAACGAACGTGATCGTTGGCGACATTTACATTTAAAGCGTGGGCTCCGCTGCACATCTAATAAAAGCATGTTCCCAACCAGTCATCAGCCCACCTCCAGCGGGGCACAACATGTGATTAAGTCTTCATTAAGCTGCCTAAATAACAAGCGTGCACGCTTTGCAGCAGGAGCCTAAAGTCACTTGGTGGGCCGATGAAAAGGGAGTCATATCAAGAAGAAATTACGGCAAGCATTGGCAAGGAGGAGCATCGTGGCGAGGGGCTCGTGTGATGATTGGGATCAGATAGGGAGAATGTCACTTTTTAATTATTTAGCATTCACTCTAAAATGCTCCTTTATATCTTTTAAAGTTTCATTTGTTTGTCTTGTTTGTTGAAAAGCAATCAAAATACAGCTGTATTCCCGATCATGAGTAATATTTTTTTTAATGATCGTGAATTTATTAATTATTTTTCCAAATTACAAAATGGATATAAATAATGGGATTATTTTTGGGGGCAAGGCCCATGCACACGCCCAATATAAATATTATTCGGCTGCATTGCTTGTTGTGCCTTTGCGTGGGGGAACTTTCAGCCATTTCTGAAATTCTTTGAGAAGGGTTGAGACAGAAATGCAGCTGGTCACAGACCCATCGATGTCACACCAACCCCCGCCCAGTTTCTCCGGGGCGCGTAGGAAACGCGCAGATGGACAGCATTACATACAGTTTCACTTCCAATTATTTTTGTGTTTACAAATATGTTAACAATGTGTAAAATTTGAATTTGAATGAGTCTAAATGTGTTGGAAGCGTGTGTGAGATATACCTTTTTTTTTTTTGGAAGTCTCAGATTTTCAGCTATTGCAGCGGAGGGTGTTTGAACAAATCCTCCACCTAAACAGGGCTTCACTGAATTTTCTTTTCCCCCCATATTTCATTGACCTTTTTATTATTTATTTATTTATTCATTAAAATCAACTCTATTCATCCCGAATACTGCACCCCCCTTGCTAATTGTGAGTGTGTCTGTGAGTCCATGTGTGAGCCTGTGAGGAGGACACATGGTACCCCACCATGCATGTATTTGCGCCAAGTGGCCATGCTGTCCATTTTGCGTGGTTGGCATTTTGGTAAAGTGCACACACACACACACACACACACACACACACACACACACACACACACACACACACATGCACACACACTCCAAGTTAATTACAATGCCGTTCCAGGTTTGGAGACAATAATTTCTTGTTAAAAAAAAAAAAAGGCAAATAGTGGGAAGTGAGTTCTATTTTGCACTCACATTTGGCTCGTCGAAAATCACCAAGTTAGAGTATCGTGGCCAAGAAAAGAGCAACTATTTGGATCATCTCTGCCAAAAGATGACAATAGAGCCACAGTAACTCCACTGGATTGTCTCCAAATTTGACCACTGACGATCCTTTTATGGGTTTCCAAGATGCCAGGTAGTAGATAATTAGTTGTTCAACACGAGCTCACAGTTTTTCTTCGGCAGGCATTTTGTTGGCAGTTTGTCTAAAATATTTTTGGGACAGACACACGATTTTGTGCCTAGTCGTGACTGCACAGGTTAGGGTGTGGTCCTTCTAATTGCCAGTGGTGAATCCAACTTCTTGGCTATCCCCCCGAACCTTCTGCCGATTACAGCTCCTTTTTTTTTTTTTTTTTTTTTGGTGTGTGCATGTGTGTGTTTGTGTGTAATCCCCATTTGACTGGCAGCGTGAAAGAGCCCTTCCAAGCTGGTACACCCACAAGGGATGCTCCCCCATTGGATGTTTGCCATCTGTCGGGTCACCTGTCTTCCTCCGAAAAACTCAACAGATGGGGGACGTGGTTCCGAGAGCTGTAGAGTTTGGAGTGAGCTCATCGTGACCTCGCCGAGTGGTCCCTTCGCATTCAGTCGTGGCATAAGGACCTAGCGACTGTGTGTCTTCGCTCGGGGGGGTGGGGATGTTGTCTACATTCTCGTTAGTGTGCTTTTGCGGGTCCTCAGCTGCTTTAAAGCTCAAGAATATACTTTATGCGTCCAGCTCATTGGCGGGCTCACAGATGCTGTGAAGCTGCGGACCAAAGGTTTCAAATGAAGCCGTGAGCATAAATGCTTCCCACTACACCTCGGTAAACAACGCGGGGAAAATATAGCAGCAAAGCATATTGCGGTAATTAAAGTGTCTTGTAAAGCACAACGGAAGAGACAAATGCGCAAAGCTGCTCTGTAAAAGTGTTAGTGCTGTGCCACGATAGACATTGTTTGTGTGTGTGTGTTACTATATGAATGAAGCTATTCCGTAAGCACATAACGCTCCGTTTCCATTCCTAAAGAAACAGCTTGCACTTTCCTAGAAAGACTTTTTGCACTGTTCTGGTGTTTGGTTTTTCTTTTTTTTTGTTTTGCCTTCCCGTTCTCTGTGCAGTGTTTTCCTCGCTAATGTGTGCTGGGTGTACATTTCCCGCTTTCAGGACCACGCGGAGATCAACTCCACCATCCTGCGGAGCCAAACCAACACGGCGCGTGTGGAGGGCCTGCGCTCGGGTACCGTGTACGTGGTGCAGGTGCGGGCGCGGACCGTTGCTGGTTTTGGCAAATACAGCAGCAAGATGTGCTTCCAGACTCTCACAGATGGTAAGGACCCACAAGCCGGGAGAGACCGCTTTCTCTCTCTCTCTCTCTCTCTCTCTCTCTCTCTCTCTCTCTCACGCCAACACTTGATTTCTCGCATTGGATTTGTTATTGCAGTATTATTAGTTGGTGAGATTGATGTGGAGACTCGTGTTCAATTGCACTTCTGTTTCCACAGCAAAATTAATTCCCTTCAAGAGTATGTGTGTGTGTGTGTGTGTGTGTGTGCGTGCGTGTGTGGACTTAATGTCGAAAGCAGAATGTCTTTTGTTTGTGCAGCTAACTGTGCTTGATCCACAATGCTAAGCTAATTGGTTTTTCACCCGACCATTCCAGCGTCGGAGTGCAGTGATTAGGAGTTGATGAGATTTTTTTGGAGGGTGGGGAGGGGTGGGGGGAG